GTATGTATGCATGTATGTATGTATGTATGTATGAATGTATGTATGTATGTATGTATGTATGTATGTATGTACGTATGTATGTGTGTGTATGTATGTATGTATATATGTATGTATGTATGTATGTATGTATGTATGTATGTATGTATGTATGTATGTATGTATGTATGTATGTATGCATGTATATATCAACATATATATATGTATATATACATGTTTACATACATATACACATACACATACATACAGTTATGTATGCATATATATATATATATATATATATATATGTATGCTGCGTTGGTTTATGTATGCATTCTATATATATATATATATATATATGTAAGTATGTATATACATACAGATATATACACACATATATACGTATAATGGGTAGGGGGTCCCGGGCCCTCCGAAGTGCACTGTTTTTTCGTCTGACCGTTTCGGGCCCAGCGGGGGGCGCCAAAAAACGTCAAAAGGTGCCGAGAGACGTCCAAGAGGGCGCCTTGATGGCCCACGACCTGTCCGAGAGAGCCCAAGACCGCACAAGAGCGTTCCAAAATTGGTCCAACATGGCTTTGAAGACAGCCCAAGAGAGCTTCAAGATGGCCAAGATGCCCTCACAAGTGCTCCCACGAGGCACTCAGGAGGCGAAGCAAGTAGGTTTCCTCAATGGTTCTTGAAGGTTGTTCGTGTTCTCGCTGTTTCGTGCTTCCAACGGTTCAAGACAGCCCATGAGGCCCCAGAAACCAGCTCAAGACGGCCCAAGAGGCACCCAAAGAGGGCGCCACGACGGCGCAATAGAGAGAGCCCCCAAGATGGCCCAAAAAGTGCCCCAAGGCGGCCCTAGAGGCGCCCAAGATCGCCTCAAGAGGGCCCCAAGAGGGGCTCAAGAGGGGGAACACGAACCGACAATTCGAGCCTTCCGCCCCAGTAGGCCTCCAGGAGGCCCCAAGAGGCCCCAAGAGAGCCCAAGAGGCCCCCTAGAGGCCTCCTAGAGGCTCCACGAGGCCCCACAGGAGCCCCCAAAGACGCCCCACGAGCATCCGTAGCCATTTTGGCTCAAGGTGGATCTGACTGCAGCGCGCAAGCGCTCATCATAGTTGCCCATCACCATGCGGACCCCGCGACCAGACCCCTGGGGCCCGAGGCTGCCCACTTTTCCCAAACTCCCCCCTCCCCCCGCGGTGCCCACTGTGTCCCTCGGGGTCCTTCGGGGGGCTTTCGGAGGGCCCGAAGGCGCTCCCCAGACGGTCCAGGAGGCTTCCGAGACGGTCCAAGAGTTCGTCAAGACGCCCATGATGGCTTCAAGACGGCCCGAGAGGCCCCCCAAGCGCTTGAAGAGGGCTTCAAGAGGACACTTATGAGGGCCGCAAGGAACACACATCGCCCTAATTCCTTGGGAAGCGTCTATTTTGGGCATATGCGCTTTGTATTAATAGCGTCCACGACGGCCTCAGAGAACCCCAAGAGCGCCGCAAGACATCCCAACAAGGCCTCCAAGACGGTCCAAGAAGCTCCCAGGATCGCCCCAAAACGTCCCACAGAGCCCTCCAAGACGACCTCCGTAGGCGCCTGTAGATCCCAGAGCGCTCTGAGACAGTCCAAGAGGCCCACAAGACACCTCACTCTGCACCCCTCCCCGCTCCTCCCAGATTCCTCCCCATCCCTCCCCGCTCCAGGCAAGTGTGCGCGAGGCGGTTGTATCTCTGGCCGCGAGATCCTGCCAGTGTATACCTACATGTTCGACCACCCTTCCGGTGATAAAGAGGTTGTGCGTGTGGTGGTGGGGGTGAGGAAGGGGAACCAACTGGAGCTACAACATAGCATTGCATCGCACAGCAGAGCATAGCATAGCATCGCATAGCATCGCACAACACAGCATAGACGAGCATCGCGTAGCATAGCATAGCATAGCATAGCATCGCATAGCATGTCATAGCATCGCATCGCATCGCGTCGCATATACTAGCAGATCATCGCATGGCACAGTATGGCGTAGCATAGCATAGCATAGCATCGCATCGCACAGCATAGTATCGCATCGCATCACACCGCATAGCTTAGCCTCGCATTGATAACATAGCGTACTATGCGGGCCGAACCGTACAATGGCCGAAAGTCCGTCCAAACGGCGCTCTCGCCTCGGCGCGGGCAGCACACCGCCAGCGTCACCTGCACGCCGTGGCCAGCTTAAGTTTAAGAGCGAATCGTGAGGATGTCTCAGCAGAAACCGGCTTTCTTGGTTCAGATGGGCGGGCTGGACGACATGGGCGAATCAAACGCACGTTCGGGCCTGCGGCGGCCGCCCGGGACGGTCAGGGCACCCACAAGGCGCGCGCTCGCCGTCGACGGCGGGGCGCGGCTGCGGGAGAGCAGCCCGAGGCGAGGAGGCCCTCCCCCCACGAGCGATGCCCTGGCAGATTGGGCCAGTTTGATTGCCGCCAGTTTCCGTCGAACGCGTGCGGATCAAGGGTGCGACGGTGATAACGGATCATTGTGCAGGCAGTTGCACGTCTCGTGGAATATGTTGCGGCGTTTATTTCCGTGTTTTGCGTCGTGAATTCTTGTTATCCGTGTCGCGCCTCCGTCTACTCACTCCCTCCTCCTCCTCCTCCTCCTCCTTTCCATATCACGATCAGAATTATCGCGATGTGACAGGCCTCGCACTTGGGCAACACAAGGGGGTGCCGCCAGGGGATAATTAGGACACTTACCGGTTCGTGCCCAGATTGTGGGGATGTCTCCAGCGGTTCGCTTGTTTCACGGATGTAGGCGCGTCTTTTTCAGGGCCGCGTGGTGTTCGCGATGTCGCAACAAACGTTGCTGGGCGCCACAATGGGGAGCGACCACGGGGTGGGACATTTGCCCACTTGCGGTCAGCATTCGGGGATATCTCACGCGAGACGTTGGCTTTTTGAGGTGGGTGTACTTTTTTTCAGGGCCGCCACGAAGGAAGCGAATACTCGGATCAGTCCCGGCAGTCGCCGCGGTACTGGGAAGACCGTCGGATCGATCATTTCGTTGTCGATTTTTTTTGGCGCGTACCGTTCAAACCTTCAGGGTGGCCCAGTGTTGGCAAATTTTGCGCGGTGGTTGCACGACGAAGGTGGGCGCACCATAGAACCCTTCACGACAGCCCATCGTTGTAAAGATTTTCGTCGCGGGGCCTTGGACGCTCTGGGTCGTCTAGGCCTTGGATAGGCGTAGAGTGCGTGAGGGGTGTGCCGAAATCGGGCCCATTGAGCCGTCTTGAGAGGTACGTAGCTGTTTCTTATGTCTTGTTTCGCCGATCGGCGCGGGCCCCCGCTCCCTCCTCCCCAAAGACCAGATCTTGGCTGCTTAAAGCGGTTGCTTCAACCGGGTTGATTAAGCACTGGGGCCCGCCCCCCCTCCTCCCCCCGGTGGACACACGAGCTGCTGCTGTACGTGTGTGAGTTGTTTTCTCGAGGCGCCCCCCTAGGAACGAAACAAAGGGTATGTAGGCAGCTGAAGTGGGGTCATGCGGAATCCTATTTCGACCTGCGGCCGTCTGTATGTTTCATGGTTGCACGCCGAGTGGAACACGTCCACCGCGTCGACAACGAACATACTTTTTCGCGTTGCATGCCGAGTGGAATTCGTCCACCGCGCCCGCAACAGCTCCTCTGCCGCGTGGAATGTGATTTCATTGGTCCGCCAAAAAGGGTGTGGAAAGGAAAGGGATTGAGAGGGTTTGCTGAGAGGAGAATGCAGGATTAAGGTCGACTGGGGCGCATGGCGTGCATCCGTGGGGGCATAGAGGGATGATACGGTTTGCTGATTGATCATGATTGATAGAAGTCTTTCTGCTCTCCGATGCTGCGAACCCTAGACCGTCGCCGCATCTTGCTAGAACCAAAGCGCGCGCGCAGCGCGCGCGTGGTTCTAGTATATATATAGATATATATAGATATATCTAATATTTTCGGGGAACGCTTCTCAGACAGCTTCTCAGCAGGGGCGGGGGACTTCCGGGCCTTCGGACGAGGCCCGCCCCTCTCCCCGCCTCCCCCCCTCCGGGGGCTCGCCGCCGGGGTGTGTAGCTCAGGAGCAGCGTCGGGGCGGCGCCGACCCCCCCCCAAAGCGCCCCTGCATCGCCGAGAGGGCCCGCCGGCCCACCCCGCCCGGGAGCGTGCGGGCTCGCTATCGGGGCCCTTAATGTCAGATCTGTCGGCGACGTGTCCCCGACTCCATGTCGACGTTTCCCCCCCCCTGCGGTAGAGGGAAACAATTCCTGAACACTCCCCCTCCCCCCCAAACTCAATGTTGGCACGCGCGGGGGAGACTGCGGTCGAAGTGCATCTCATCAGACCCACCGCCAACTTCGAACATCGGGGGGAGGGGGAGGCGTTGACGGATGAATGTGGCATGTGTTCGCTAATTTGTTCCGAGGCCTGTATGAGCGGGTCCCTCCCTCACGCTGCCCCTCAGCATCCGGGGCCTCGTCGAGGCTCGGGTTCCAGGCAGGTCGAGCGAGGCATCTCGGGACCTGCTTTCAGCTGGTCCAGGCGCACGGTCTCGTTTTTGCGTGCCTTGCCTCACAGGGGTGCTCACCAGCTTTACCACTGCATTTTATTGGTACCGCGTGGTGGCTGGGTTCGAGTCCATGAACTTGATAAACTTTATTTCTCTTTTCTTGATAGTTGGCATCGCTGCTGACGACATCTTGGTGATGTCGCAAATGTACGACCTCGGACACGTGCGTATCTCGGAGAAGAGGCGAACGCCCCAGAACACCATGAAATGGGCGTACTACCGCGCCGGCTCGGCCATGCTGGTCACCACAATCACGACCTGCGGCTCCTTCTTCGCCCTCTGCACATCGAGCATCAAAGTGCTCCGGGCTTTTGGCTTCTTCATGGGCGCCACGGTGGCATGGAACTACATCAACGTCATGATCATCTTCCCCCCGGTCGTCCTGATGGTCGACATCTGGTGGAAGTGGCTGTGCCCCTGCTGTTACCGCAAGAAGCAGGACGGCGGCGATGCGCTTGCAGATGTGGAGGCGGACCCGTCCGGCGCGACCGCCCGCGACAGTCCGTCCGCCCGCTCGGAGAACGCCTTCGACGCCGTCTCGCCGCGGATCCCCAGGTCTCCAGGCCTCCCGAAGGTGGTCCGAGACCGCGTCGCGTCGCCGAGATGCATCTGCAATGCGGCTCGATGTGGAGCCCGATCTTCCCGAAGCCGACGTCGCAGGTGCATCGTCGATGCATCGGCGATGCGGCGCGATCTTCCGACCTAGGGCTCGACCTGAACGGTGTTTTGGCGATTTCGTGGACCGTTCTCGTTTCGACTTCGTCCTGCAGCAGAGGCACATGGAAGACAAGACGACTACAAACGAACACGAAACGAAAACGAAAAACACTGTTCAGGTCGATCCCTGTTCCGACCCCACCTGCTCCGACTCGAAGCCAGACGCCCGACGATGATCTCGTTGTCAGTGCGCGGCTCCCAAGGGAGGTCCCGGCCCCTGCCCCGCGGACACTTCTCCGTTTCTCCGTCCTGGATCCACGTGTGGCGGCGCCGAGGCGCCGAGGCCTAGGCCACAGCGCCAATAAGGGGAGGTCGCTGGCCTGGCCTTCTCCTCCTCCTCCTCCTCCTCCTCCTCCTCCTCCTCCTCCTCCTCCTCCTCCCCTCCCTCCTCCCCTCCTCCCCCTCCTCCTCCCCCTCCTCCTCCTCCTCCTCCTCCTCATCCTCCTCCCCCTCCTCCGTAGCAATTTAAGCTGAAACCATTTTGGCACAACGTGCTGTTTTCCTCAAAAAGGAAAAAGTGGATACCGCTAGCCCGCGGCAGGCAGAGCTTCCTGAAGCCTGGCAGCACCTTTCTGTATCGCACCAAACGCTGGGGTCGGTGGGTAAACGGAGGTGTTTCCCGTTCCTGCCGTCCCGAGTGCAGCACCGATGGCGAAGGCGGCTTTTGGCTTCGTCGTGTGCACGGCCTGTAGCTATCGCTGGACCGTCCGCAAGCACGAAAGCTGCTACCACTGCGGCAAGGCGCTCCCGTCGGCACCTCGCCCACCCCTTCGCTGCGCGGCGCCTGGGCCAACAGCGCTGGTGATGCTGGCGAGCCCAGCCGCAAAGGTGGCAATGAGAAGACGGGCAAGGGTAAGGGCAAGGGCAAGGGCAAGGGCAAGGGCAAGGGCAAGGGCAAGGGCAAGGGCAAGGGCAAGGGCAAGGGCAAGGGCAAGGGCAAGGGCAAGGGCAAGGGCAAGGGCAAGGTCGGCAGGGACGTCACGGGGGCCAATGGCGTTGTTGCCACAGGCGGTGGCCAGGAGCAGCCGAGCTTCCCCAAGGCCCCTTGAGCGCGGGAGGCTGCCCCAGGCCCCAGCGAACTGGACATGCTCCTCGCCGTGCAGGATCCAGAGGTGGCGGAGGCCTTGCGTGTGGCAGTCGAGGTGGCCCGCAGGTGCGAGGCCCAGCAGCCTCCCCGTGCGCCTCGCATCACGGCGCAGAGGCTCCAGTCGGCGGTGGACCGTCGACAGCACGCCGCGACGGTGCTGGACTCCGCCACTTGGGCCGTCGCATGGCCTGGGCCTGAGCAAACTCTCGAGGGGGCCAAGGCATGGCGGGACGAGACGGCGCTGGCCCTGGCTAAAGCCCAGGCTGAGGAGGAGGCATCGCTCCGCCAGCGCAACCAGGAGGCGGGCATCAAGCAGGACGTCACGGACGCGCAGGTCCTCTTCGATTTCAGCCTCCCTGGCGGCCTCGAGAGGCTGGAGAAGCATGCCCAGGGCTGTCTTGGCGAGATGGTGTGCACCGGGAAGCAGATCGCCGAGGAGAGCCTGGCCAGCTACAAGGTCAATTACCGCGCCCAGCTGGGCCGCATTGCCAAGCAGGTGGCGGAGGCCAAGGCAGCCAATAAGCGCGAGGTCGCCAGCCAGGAGGACGGCGAGCGCGAGCCCGTGCCTGGCGCTGCTGACGAGGACGCGCCATTGGGAGGCGAACCCAGCGGCGGAACAGGCCCATCGGAGCAGCCTGCGGCTCCAGCGGGCGCCCGCAGCCGGCCGCCGCTCCAGCGGCGCCCGAACAGGAGCAGCTGGGCACCCAGCGGGTCGCTGCCGAGCTCGCCGCTGCAGCCACCCAGGCGGCCGAGGTGGGGCTCAAGGGGCGGGCCGCAGCCAAGGCGGCCAAAGGCATGGACATCACCTCTCCTGCGAGCGCTGCTGAAGCTCTTCGCGGTGGCGCTGCTGTTGGGGCGCCCAGTCTTTAGGGTGACAGAGGGCGCCCTGAGAGGGGCAGGGCGCCGCAGTCGGAGCATGCTGTGGTTTCTGTGCCCGACGTCGCGGGCGCGCCTGTGCAGGGCAACCAGTCCCATGGGCCTTTTTGCGGCCAGTGGAGGCGCAGAAATCAGTGAGGGTGCGCTCCCAAACGTAGTGGCGCCGCAGCCTGGCGAGGAGGGGATGGACCAGCGCAGCCAGGTTCGGCTCGGCATCCATTGCAGCTGGTCCAGCAGGGGCCTTTGGCGTTGGCCCCTGGCAAGCTGGGCGAGGACCTCCGCGTCTGCGCGTTCGGCGGCAAGGCGTGGGGTTCGGCCGCGAGCGCCAATGAGTGGATGCGCAAGAAAGGGCGCGAACCGCGCGTCATGGTGGCCCAGGCGACGCGCTTCTCTACGCCCCACGGCTGAGGAGTAAGCCCACGGCTGGGCCAACCGAGGCGGCCAGCAGCTGGCTCGCCCGGGAGTTCTTAGGGTGGGAGAGGCGGCCATGGCGGTGTCATCAGGAGTGGGCGTCATCTCCTTCCGCCTGTTGGGCCCGGCCCGACACCGCTGGCCGTGGGCAGGCGTGCAGCGCAGGGTCATCGCCCGCAGGCTCTTCACGGGGGCGGGCACCACCATCGGCATGGTCTCCATCTACCTTGAGGGCGGCGTTTGTCCCAGGGGGGTGAAGCTCCAGCTCCTCGAGGACCTCCACGAGTTGTGCGCTTACTTGGGCGGGCCCTTCGTCATCGGCGGCGACTGGAACAGCGAGGCCGGCGAGCTCGACGACTCGGGCTGGCCAGGGCTGGTTGGCGGCGGAGTCGCCGCGCCAGTGCATCCGCGACGAGTGCGGCTACTTCATCGTCTCGATGGCGCTGGATGACATGGTCGACTCCATCGCAGCCCGCGCCGACGCGCCCAATGGCCCCCACGCGGCGGCCACTCTCGTGCTGCGGGGCTGCTGGCAGCGGCCCGCGGCCCAGGCCCAGCGGGTGCCGACATGCTTCGAGCTTGAGTTCGCCGCCGACGCAGATGCCAGGGATCAACGAGATGGGGCGACAGCGGCGCCGCCGTGGCCCCCGCCCGACGCAGGCCCCGAGGGGCGGGTCAAGGGCTGGTTCTGTCAGGTCGAGGACCCCCTGCAGGCTCCGCGGCATGCCCCGCAGTGAGGCCCGCTACGTCAAGGGCAGGGCCGAGGGCCTCAGGGCGATCGCCGCCCCGCCGGAGGCCAAGGTCCAGGCGGGGCGCATGGGCAGAGCTTCGCCTGCCGCGCAGCTCTGGCTGTCGCTGCACCTCGCCAAGCGCAGGCGGGGCCATGGCCCTGGAGGCCAGCCAGGCAGCTGCAAGACCAGGCGGGGGCAGATGCCCCGCGAGGTGGCGCTGGAGCTGGTCTCGGACTTCCAGGCCCAGAGCATCGCCATGTTCGACGGCGCGGTCTTCGGCAGCTTCTGGGGCGAGATCGCCCGCCAACGAGACGCGGGCTATCAGTTCCTGGCCATGGCCGAGCAGATCGGGGGCGACTGCGCCACTTGGGGCGCCGAGGCCAGCAGCGCCAATTCCCCGGGAGGCCTTCGAGCGCCAGGGCTCTATCGCCCACGAGGTCCCCAAGAAGACCGGCGGAGAACTTGTGCCCGTCCTCGAGGCTTGGGCGACCGACCTGGCGCTCGTTGGCCAGCCAGCGATGGAGAGGGCGCTGGCAGACTGGCTCTCGCTATGTGCTGACCCCGCCGTGGCGACCAGGAGCACCCGACTTCCTGGCAGATCGGCGGCTGGACTCTGCAGCCCATTGCTGCCCTGGGCGACGTCAAGCTGGCTTCGCGCAGGTTTTCCAAGCGCACGGGGCTGGGGCGGGGCAACTTCCATCCTCGCCTGCTCCTGGAGGTGGGCGACGACATGCTGGGCTGGATGGCTGGCCTGCTGAGCGCGTGCGAGCGCAACCCATGTTGCGGCGAGCTCTGGACCATCATCATGGTTTTTCCTATCCAAACCAGACGGCGGGCAGCGGCCAATCGGGCTCGTGCCGCTGCTGGCCAGGGTCTGGTCGCGCATCCACTAGATGGACTGCGCCGGGTGAGGGCGCTCTATCGACCTGTCGGCCTTCTGGGGCGCGACCTCGGCCAGTGGCTGCGACGAGGCGGCGTGGCTCCACTGCGTGCGCGTGGCCCGCGCCAAGGGCGCCCAGGAGTAAGCTGCCTCCTTCTACGTCGACCTATCCACGTACTTCGAGCACGTCGGACGCGCCGAGCTGCGGGCGGCGGCGTTGGCCTGGGGCTTTGACAGGGGCCTGCTGAGGGCCCTCTGCTGTGCGTATTTGGCCCCGAGGGGGACTCGCGTCGGCGCCTGTCTGGGCGGGCCCATCACGGCCGATGGTGCGGCGGTAGCTGGATGGTCGTGCGCCGCGGCCCTAGCCGAGCTCCTCCTACTCTCCGCTCTGGGAGCCGCGGCGATGGCCGCCCCCGTCGCCAGGGTGCTCGGTGTGGTGGGCGACGTCTCGGCACGCGTGGCGGGCCGCTCACCGTGGTGACGCAGCGGCTGAGGGCCGCCTGCCAGGCCTTCTGCGCCCCAGGTGAAGGAGGCCCACCAGCCGATGAGCAGGCGCGAGACCAAGGCCCCTGCGACCAGCAAAGCACTGCACGAGGCGCTCATGCGCCAACCTGGCTAGGACCTGGAGATGGAGGACTTCGTGGACGCGCGCAGGGGTCCCGGAGGCGACGCCATCTCGGGGTCCTACCGCAGAGCGACCGCGACGGCCAGCGGAGAGCGACAGGCCAAGGCCCCGGGAAGGAAGCTCACCGAGCTCTTCAGGCCAGGGCTCGACCGTGCTCTAGTCTACCCTGCGGGGCCGACAGCCAAATCTACGCGGGGCTCCGCCGTCGTGGGGGTCTCCAGCGGGCGC